ATTCAGATGAAAGTATATTTTCATGTCATTTCAGTGTTTCCACCAGGAGGTGGGACAGAGACACACCTGAGCTGCGTGTTGTTTGTACTGACAGTTTTTGAGCGGGTGGTGGGGGGGGAGGCAGCTTCCTTTAGCTTTTTAGCTAGTGCGCCTGTATTACATGCCGCTAGCTTAGTGCTACATCACTGCCGACGTGTGGAGAGTAGAGCTGTCATTTCTAAGCCGAGCCCTAAGCCCAGCCCCACCCGTCCCGAATTCGGGCCGGGCCATAATAATGTGTTAGATGGGCGGGGCGGGTTGGTGTAGGGCTTTTAATTGGGTCAGGATTAGATGTGATCCAATTATATAACATGGCTTGCCATAACTTCACCAGCCACACAGGCCATTTCACCACGAGCTGACCGGCCTCGAAAGAGGTCAAATAAATATCCTGATGCATTCTCAATAATCCAGGTAGAAAAATTCTAAAAAAGTTAAGTCTGGTCCTCTGGACATTCAAAAAGCTTGTTTTGCTTTGTTTTGTTTTTTGAATGTCCAGAGGACCAGACTTAATTTTTTTAGAGGTAAAATAAGGTTCACTTAAGCTTCAGATGGGACTATACAGCCAGGAAGTGATCCGTCGCCCAAATGGACGTTCATTCTGCCGCTGCAGTCAGCGGACGTGCGCGGCCGATGACCCAAACAGGTGAGATCCCAAAGCAGACGTGTCAGAGCAGGGTCTGTGAATAAATCAGAATGCAGGCAGAAACAGGGTTTAAATGCTCTTTTACGTCCATGACAGGACAAACACCCCCTCGGCTCTGATCTTCTGCCCCTTAATTCAGCCGCACATCCCGACCGTTAATAACTAATTAAAAATATCCGGGGTGGGGAGTGGGGGGTGTTCCAGGTTTGGACCTGTAATTTATGTTAATTTGTTGGGTCGGGTGGGGTTCGGAAATTATGACTGCAGGCTGGGCACCCCGCTTGTGTAATGGTAGCGGAAACACTGCATTTGGAAATCAAGGTCCCAGAGTCTGGAGTCAGAGTGGAGAGGTCCAGAATCCACATTGTTGAAGTCCAGAGTGACGTTTCCACAGTCAGTGATGGTTTGGGTCCATGTCCTCTACTGGAGCTGGTCCACTGGGTTTTCTGAAATCCACAGTCCATGTAGCATCTACCAGGACATTTTAGAGCATGTCATGCTTCCTTCTGCTCATGAGCTTTATGGAGATGCTCGTTTCATTCTCCAGCAGGACTCAGCTCCTGCCCACACTGACAAAGGTACCAAAGCTGACTGTGGAATATTCTCATTTTCTGAGACACTGAGTTTTGGTTTTTCATTATTTGTACGCAATAATCATCAAAATTACAATAAAAAAGGCTTGAAATATTTCACTCTATGTGTAATGAATCTACCGGTATGTAAAATGAGTTCTGAAATGATTGACAAATGATAAATATTGAACTTTTTCACAATATTCCAAATTTTTGAGATGCACTTGTATTTCAGTTTAATGCAGTAGCCTTTTACCAAATTTTCAAGTTTAACCAACTTGTAAACAAAGAAATAAACACTACAGCCACTGTAAATAATCAATGAGCATGTCACTGAGCCATTACCATCAAAAACAGTGTCTGAAGCCAAGAAATCAACATATCAATGGCACATGCCATAACAACCCTGTTCTACACTTTCCTTCCAAGGATCATGCCAGATAAACCCTGAATCACACAGAAATTAACAAATGCTTGACATTTGCTCAACATCCATTATTCTGACACTTCTTCAGAATTTCAAAAGGCTGAACGCATGCTTAATCAACATTCATATTCCCAGAGCGAGCTCCAGCACCATATTGCAGCCCGCCTCAGTGCTGATGAAAACGGCACATTAGGGCCCGATTCAAAAAAATGTTTCGGGTACTCCTCACCAGGGAGCGGTGTGTGTATGAGTGTGGGAATAATAGAGAGAAAACGCTTCACACTTCCCTGTTTAAGTGTTTTCCAAACCAGAATGATCCGTCTCTTTTTCCTACTCACCCTCCTACATTAGTGACAGTAAAAGCAATATAAGGAGTGCTGAATGGCAGCCAGAGAAAGTGTGTGTCTACGGGGGGGGGGGGGATCATTACATTCAAATTCATTCATAATATAGCACAGAAGGACACAGAGGACTCTGACTTTCCCTCCTTCTTCATTGTACCCTCCTTGCACCGACTCTCTCAGGGGACAAATGGTAGAAGGACTGGGGTCCCCTCTAGACCCAAGGGAAGTCAGGCAAGGCCTCAGAGAGCGGCCCATCATTTCCAATTCTAATGTGTGGCAAAAGAAGGGCCTGATGGGACTGATGTCACAGCCTTGCCTGCACAGGCCTGCGATGAACCCTCCCCACCAACACCCCCATCTGCTGCCCAGCCAAAGTCCAGATACTAGACAGGACACTAGGACTGTCTAAAAGGAGGGCAAGGAGGATGGAGCAAGAATGGGGGTTGATATTTGCATGCCCCTCCATTGTGAGTGGGGGTAAAAAGTGACAGCACCGTGTCCAATTCTTTTCCCCCCAGAGCAGCAAGAGAGGCCAGGCTGACAGATGACTCCCAACATCTGTGTTATGCAGCCGTTACAGATGAGGGACTCTACATCGCAATCGCTCTCTTTCTGTCTATGGGACACTCCCTCTCTCCTCCCACCAATCTTTTTCATAGTATGATCCAAAGACTGACAGACCGTCCATGAAAATTACCCTGAAATGGTCTATAACAATCATCTTGTTCAAAGTTTAAATTTTCTTCACTTTGAGTCCCCAATCAAAACCAATGACTGTGAAATGGTTTTGAACTCAATACGGCACTCAGAGTTGAGCAAAACAGTTATTGATATTCATCTATAAATACTTTAATTGAAATAATCAATTCAATGCATATTTACATGTTTTATTATAAAGTCAAGTAAGTGTACAACTCACCATCATAAGAGGAGAAAAAAGATATTATTAGTACAAATTAAAAACAGACTAACTAACTAATGTAAGAAATGTTCAGGCCCTAAAAACTATTTACTGATTCTAGTTGCAGGTCAAACGGGTTTCAATTTAAAAAGAATTAAGAAAACAAACTGTTAATATGAATGTACTATTTGTTGAACTAGCAATAATAGTTCTTAAATATTATTGATAGTGCATATATCTCTGTCATACAGTATGGATCTACAGTTGTCTCATTTGTAAATCACTGAATAAAATCCAACATGATTTAATACCTAAATATCTGTTTGTTCTTTCTCCCCAGCTATAGTAAACAAATCATTCTTTTGCCCATCATTTTATTGCAGGATTGTCCACAACAAACCTCTAGCTCCCCCCTCAACCCCTCCCTGGCCAATATTTACGCAGTGGCAGGGCTCCCGTACGGTCCGAGGGGACAGGAGGGGTGTGGGATGGAGGGGGTGGCTGACTGCTGTGCCTGAGCGCATGCTAAGAGATGATGGATGGCCTAGTCGATATGTTATGTCTTAAGAGCCTGATTTCCTGCCAGTCCAATCACTAACTCTCCAGAGCCCAGCTCAGCTGATTGGACAACCAGAATAATTTTGCAGGCTGTGAAAACACTGCTGCCGTGTCTGTCTGTCAGGCCCGGTGACGAGACTCAGGGATTTTAAAGAGCAAGGGCCTGCCCAAGATAGGTTATGGTGAGCGAAATAATAACAATAACCAGCAAGACTAAACAAAAGAGCAAGCACCTCTGGGAGAAAGAGTTCATGTGGAACTATTGGGATGAAAACTGCCCAGTGTTTACCTTTAATCATTATACCCACCAGAATATTTAAATAAAAAAGTACTGGGCATTTTTTAAAGGCACTCTGGTTAAGGAAACCAAAAAACTTAAAAACTCCAAAAGCAAAAAGGAACTTGTTGGTGTCTAAATATGAAGGAAATGGCATTAATTTTACCTACATGATATATTCTGCAAAAAGCTGACAGTAAGAACAAAGAGAAGCTGAAGCTGCTCTGAATCCCTTAGGGGACCTGATATTTTCTTTTAGATTGGTGATTAGGGTACAATGGAAGTAGGAAGTTCCAAATACATGCAACTTTGTAAGTGACCTCGACGGGATCAGCCATGGTGTCCTGGTGGCCTTGGGGGATTACACATGTTACATTCAATAAAGTGAGGGCCCTCGGTGTCAAGGAGAAAGGCAAACACAACCATTAACCTCTCTCTTCGATTTCTGGTTGCACGGGCGCTGCATGGCAAAACACTGACTAATGCTGCGGCAAGAGCCAATACAGAAACATGTGTGGAATTAATCAGGGCTTTGAAAGAGTGAATGAAACCGGATTAAAAAAAAATGTTTAATTATAAAAGAACTAAAAAAAAAATTCTAAATAAAAAAAAAATCCTGAAAATATATCACAATTTCATCTGTTTAAAGAATATAAACATATTTTATATCAAGATGAGTTTTGCGGTGAAGTTAAACTCAAAGCAGTCTGCTCCTCAGATAAATAATGTTAAATTATTATTTTTATATATAAATGTTTCTGTTCAGTGCCCTGAGGTGACTTCGGTTGTGACTTGGCACCATATAAATACACTGAATTGCATTGAATCTTATCAGTAAAGTTGTTTTGTATTAGAGTATTACTCGTAGATAAAAGGTGCTCTTCATCAGCAAGTTGATGTTTTTTTTTTGTCTTTTTTCACTCATAAACATGAGTCGTTTATACTCCTTCAAACATTACATTTACATATAAAGAAGTTACACATGATAACATTTGCAACCATGTTGTTGCTCAATGTCTCTCTTTAGGTTACTGTAAACATTTTAATTAATTACTTCTTCACTTTTTGGTACTTTTTTTGAGTACCCTTATTGCATGTTTTTTTCTGTATTTTCTTGTTGGTTTATTCTTTGATTTTTTAGCAAGGCAAATCGGTTCTTCTCATCCTAAGCATTTCATTGTATGCTAACTCTGTGTTAACCTGCATATAAAACACAACTTGAACTGTGTAACTTACTTGGGAAATGTATCTTTCAGCACCTTCATACACTGTCGTGTAGGTCTCAGCTGTTCAGTCCGTTTCACTATCTCTTTATATTCAGCTCGGGACAGTCTCATGCTTATGTCTTCACTGTGTGCACATACAAAGAAGGAAAGTTCAGTAAATCTGTATCCATGCAGATGTTTGGTGACAGCCAGTCAAACAGCTGCATTGCTAGCGAAACAGCTACGTGTTGACGCGACGCAAACATCTCTTTTCATCCACGTATAACAATTACTAGTCTGTTTTATACAACGTGTTGAAAATTAAATGGCCTAAATGTTAAAAAAGAAGTAAAAAAAAATAGCTTATTTACCTCAATTCTTGCCTCTACAGAACAGCTACAGATAGCCACTTCCCGCTAGGAAGTTAAAGACAAGACGTCTGTGTGAGCAGTGTGCTGATTGGTCAATCTGTCCGTGACGCTGAGTAAAGCGGCTGCTGATTGGTTAGTTGGCTGCAGGAGGGCAGTGTGCCTTTAAGGAGACAGACATGTAGTGTGCTTTTCACACAGTCTAGTTGGATTATCAGCTCCCTGCTAAGAGTAAATCCTGTCACACTTATCAAGTGTTTTCCTGTCTAAGAGCAAAAACTATTGACTGCAGTAATTTAAACAGAAGGGAGAAATACAAGACAGGGGTGGCACAAAGACAGGAAAAACAAGGGAGTTTCATAAATGAATCTTGCAGAAATAACAGTTTGCTCGAGTTAGTAGTGCCTGACACAAAATCAGTGACAAAGTTATTAGGCTGCTGTTTAATTCCTTAAATAATTTATATGTTAGATTTTTTCCACTGAGAAATAATTTGCACTTTTCATTTATACATGTATTTATTCATTAAAAAGAAAAAGAAAACATTGAATGAAAAGGGTGCAGAAAGTCAAGTCGTATTTATTTATAGAGCACATATAAAACAGAAACAGTTATCAAAGTGCTTAACAAAAGAAAGAGGAAGAAAATCTGCCCCAATATCTGCACTTTATAGGTTTAGTGCTCTATTTTCATTACAATGAACTTTCTCGTCTTTCTTGTCCTTTTTATACTCACACTGACCAAAATAAACTTATTTCTGCTATTACACTTTATATTTTGTTATTATGAGCATTATATTTCAATTTAGATTTCTCAAGGCTTTGCATTTTTGCATTATTATTATTATTGTTTTTTTTTGTTTTTTTTTTCATTTAGCCTTTATTTATACAGGTAGTCTCAATGAGCCACGAGAACTCATTTTCAAGAGAGACCTGTTTAGGGAGCAGATGGGCGTTAAGGGCCTTGTTCATGGGCCCATTATTGCTTTACTACAATCTAAAAGAGGTGGTATAAACATTTTCCGGCAACAATTATGCAGAAAAAAAAATATATACATATACTTATTTATTTATGTATTTATTTACTTTTTTTTAAATTTTCTGAAATTTCCTGTGGGATCAATAACGTTCTATCTTATCTTATCTTATCTTATCTTATCTTATCTTATCTTATCTTATCTTATCTTATCTTATAGATAGATAGATAGATAGATAGATAGATAGATAGATAGATAGATAGATAGATAGATAGATAGATAGATAGATAGATAGATAGATAGATAGATAGATAGATAGATAGATAGATAGATAGATAGATAGA